CGAGACAAGCTTAAGCTGATGAAACAGCGAAGGAAGCCTCCTAGTTTCCTCGCCCTGGTGAGGCTCCTGCGTGAGGAGGAGGAATGGGAGGCCACTTTAGGTCCAGATAGGGAGAGCCTGGAGGGGCTGGAAGTAGCCCCAAGGCCACCTGCCAGGCTCATTGGGGTTGGGGCAGCACCTGTCCCTACCTCTGGCAACAGTTTTGAAGTGAGGCCTTCCCAGGGTTCCCGGCGCCGGAGGGGCAGAGGCCAACACCGAAGGGGTGGTGTGCAGAGGGCTGGCTCTCGAGGCTCAAGGAAACGGAGACGCCACACCTTCTGCTATAGCTGTGGGGAAGATGGCCACATCAGAGTGCAGTGCGTCAACCCCTCCAACCTGCTCTTGGTAAAGCAGAAGAAACAGGCTGCAATTGAGTCGGGAAACGGGAACTGGGCTTGGGACAAGAGCCATCCCAAGTCCAAGGCCAAGTAGGCTCGGGGGAACAGGGCAACATTTCCTACCGCAGTCCAAGGAGACAAGACAGATATTGGAAAGAGGGGAAAGAGGAGCCCAGACAAACAACAGATGAGTTGAGCGGGACAGAGGGACAGGGCAGCCAGACCAAGGCCAAGCTCCCTCACTCTGTGCCAGCTGGAAGGGACTTCAGCAACCAAGACAAACTGGCAACTGGCTTAGTGGGGGTCAAGTCCACAGCCCCAAAGAGGTGCTGGAGAGGAAAGCAGGGAGTGACTGCATCCAGCACATGGGGTGCCTGGGCCTCAGACGGGGACCCCAACAAAGTAAAGGCTGAAGAAGGTGCAGCTGGGGGTTCTGTCCTGCTCATCCAGCCACCCCCAAATGCCCACCCTGTGGACTTCGAGATGAGCATGCCCACTGGTCCCCAGGCCATGTGGGACCTGGAGGAGCCTGCCTGGGGCCTGCTCCTGCCAGAAGGAGCCAGGGCTGGTGAGGAAGATCTGTGGGACAGAGGCAAAGCCCATCTTCAGGATCATCTCCACTGCACTAGGGGAGCCCCAGGAAGGCAGCACCCTGGAGGCCCTGTGCCAGTGAGGCCAGGAGACCCTACGGCTCTGGGAACCCAGTGCCAGCCAGAGGCTGTGCAGGCAAGGAGACCAAAAATTGATGAGAAGACCCCCAGCAGGGGCACTGGGAACCCAGCAGGCCAGTGTCCTCACAGCTGACTTAGGCCAGGGTGGCTGTGAAGGGAAGTCTTCGTTGCAAAGGAGGAGGAAGAAAAGGGAGGACTTGGTGGGGGTTTGTTTCTTCTCCTTGTTTCTGTACAGGGCAAGGAACATCTGGGGCTGCCATGGCCAAAGTAACTCAACGGATGCTGACACCAAGGCCCGCCCCAACCCTGCCACCCTGGGAGTCCAGCCTGGAGGCAGCCCTAAGCAGCCAGCCGTGGCCTGGGCGGGGGCACCTGAAGACATCTGTCCCGAATCCCACTGGCCCTGAGCTGGGAGATGACGGGGCAAAAGAGGCCCTCTCAAGGGTGCCAGCTGCCTGGGTCTCCCAACAGGGGTCCCCCCACTCGCTGTCCCCAGGCAGACTGCCCTGTTCTGAGAATCCCACCCTCACCTGTGTAGGCCCTGTAGTGACCCATGCACCCAGGAGACACCCACTTACTGCTAGCCGTCGTTCCTGTGCAAAGTTGTGTACTGTGTGCCCACCCGGGTGGCCGCCTCTGGGCCCGGGACACGTGCTGTGAGCTTTCTGCAAGCCCACGCTCTGCTCGCTGCTGTCTGTCCCTTGTCGTGAGCACCACCTCTGCTTTCCCGGTGTAGATCTAGGCCAGGGGCTGCTTGTTCTGGTGGAGCTGTGTGTGTTCTTCTCTGAGCAGCTTCTCCCTGGAGGCCCCCAGTGCAGTCCCAGGAGATGGCAGAAAGGAGGCGGCAGGACACGATGCTCACCCCATCATCACGATGATGACGGTGCCTGCAACAGGAAGAACTGGACCCAGGACGGAGAGGGGCTGCCCTGCCTGAGGCTTCCCGGGGAGCTTTGTGCTTTGGTGTTCCACCCCTGTTGTTACTTGTGACTCAGTTTCCTCCACCCAGTGGTGTGTCCTCTGCTGTGTTTTCCAGTGTCCTGTGACTGTCCTGTGAAAGCCACAAGGCAGGGCCCCACCCATGCGGAAAGGCTTGGGAGGGGGCTCCCTGAAGCCAGTGGACACTGCCAGAGTCCACCGTCCTGGCAAGAGGCGGACCTGGGGCACTTGGGAAGAAGGGAGGTGGCCACGGGAGCCACAGCAGGAGGGGAGGCAGATGAGGTGCTTTGTCAGAAACCCCAGGAGGAGGGGCCCCAGGACCTGTGGCCTGCATCTTCTCTCTGTGTCGTGGTTCCCTTCTCTTCAATGGTTTCAGTATGTGTTTTTCTTCAATAAATTTCATTCCGTGTTCCAGCTTGTCTCGCCTCTGCTGTGGGAAACGGGGGGTAAGGTTGGTTGGGGATGGGGTTGGGGTGGAGTGAGGGCCACAGGGGCTTTTTAACACTGGTGTATACTTGGGGCTTGGTCTACAGGGCATTGTAGAATGGGCTATTGGTACACGTTGGTCATGAGCTAGGGTTTGTGGCTCATGGACCCAGGCCAAGAAACCCAGCTGAGCAGGCTGGATAGTCCCAGTAGACAGGACACTGGTGGGCCCAGGCAGTGGCTGGTTGGGTCTCCAAGGCACTGGTTGAGCTTCTCTGAAATGAATGAGTAACACATTTAAGGGAGGATGAGGAACAGCAGGCAGGACCAGTGGCCCTAGGATCCCTTATATCACTGTTGGGGTTCAGGGCTTCCACAACTGGTGCATCAAAACCAGGCCCATTTCTGTGAGTGTGTGTGAGATGGGGAATTTGTGTGTGTGTACTAGTGATTGTGTGAGTGTGGGAGAGTGTGTGAGTTTGGGAGTGTCATGTGTCAGCGAATATGTGAATATGTGAACGAGTATGTGAGATGGTATGTCAATGTGTTGATGAATGTGTGTTTGTTTTTGAGTGTGACTGAATGTGTGTTAGTGCTCAAATGTATGTTTGTGTTTAATGTGTATGTGTGTTAGTAAAAGCATGTTTGTGAATATGTGAGTGAGATGGTGTGTGAATGTGTGTATGACAGTGAATGTGTGGGTGACTGTTTTTGACTGTGTACATGAGTGGATATCTCTGTGTTTGAGAATGTTAATGTCTACGAGTTTGAGTGTGTATGTGTGAATGTGTGGAATGGGTGAATGCATGTGTGGGTATGTGTGTTAGTGTGTGTGAAACAATTTATGAGAGGGTGTGTGAATTTTCATGTGAGTGCAGGTGTTCGGTGATTGGTGGGATTTTTATTTCTTTAAGGAATCAAGAGAGTTGGAAAGAAGGCAGACAGAGGTAGAAGTTGCTTTGCCGCAAAATAGCAGTGAGACTTTTGTTGCCTCTAGGCTGATGGACCCTAGAGCTGGGCCTGCTACCATCTAATCATCCATTTCTCACCCCTGGAACATTCCTATTTTTAAGGTTCACGTGGCTTCTTGGCCTTTTGGCTAAGGTCAAGTGCAGTATCTATTTTCAGGTCCCTAATCTTAACAGATAGGTGTTACTGGTATTTTGTGATGGAAGCTGATAGAAACCGCCTCGGATGAGTCTCTGTGGACTTTTGTTTTCCTTTCTCCTGCACAAACACCTAGGAGTGGAATGACTGGGCCACAGGGTTGATTTAACTTTCTAAGAAACTTCACACAGATTTCCAAAGCTATTGTGACAATTTATACTCCAATGAGCAGTGCCCATTTCTTAGGGTACTCCAAAATCTTGTATTGCCAGTTTTAAACTTTTAGCCGTCTCATGGGATGTCTCATCACGGTATCTCACGGTGGCATTAGTTTGCATTTCTGTGATGACTAATAACATTGAGCACTTTTTTGTGTGCTTATTAGCTATCTGTCTATCTACCTCACTGAAGCGCCTATTCCCTTGCCTAGTTTTTACCTGGGGTTTTTTTCTTTTTTCAGTTGTGCAAGTTGTTGAAATACTCTGGATACAAGTCCTTTGATATATGTACTGGGAAGACTTTTTACCAGTTGTGTCTTTCTTATACATATTCTTAGTGGAATGGTGTCTGTTTCTAAGCAGACGGGTTTCATTATAACGAAGCCCACTGCATCATTTGTTTCTTTTTACAATGACCGCTTCCTGGGTCCTGCCTAAGTTATCTTTCATTGGCCCACATTTACAAACGTATTGACCTATGTTTTCTTCTAGAACCTCTGTAGTTATAGCTTTTGCATTTAGGTCTTAGAATGTACCTACATTGGTTGGGCACAGTGGCTCACACCTATAATCCCAGCACTTTGGAAGGCCAAGGCAGGAGGATTGCTTGAGCCCAGGAGTTTGAGACCAGCCTTAGAATAAAAAAAAAAAAAATTACCTGGGTGTGTGGTAGTGCATGCCTATTATCCTAGCTACCTGGGAGGCAGAGGTGGAAAGATTGCTTGAGCCCAGGAGATTGAGCCTGTGCTCCAGCCTGGGTGACAGAGCCAACTCCTGTCTCAAAAAAAGAAGAGTGTACCTAATAAGTTATTGGTGTAAGGTCAGATACATTTGAAAAGACTTTCTTTCGACATTGATTTTATTTAGAATGTTAGTCAAAAAATGTTTGACTTTGTACCTGTGGGTCTATAACGGGGCTCCTCTGCAAGTGTAGGGAAGGCTGCTGATTTGGGGCTCCCTTCTACCGTGTGTTTGATCTGACCCAGAAGTACCAGAAGTGAGCCTTGTTCAAAAAAGGAGGTAGTTTGGATTTGGAATCAAACGTGGTCATCTGAGTCAATGGGAAGGGCAGGTGGTGGAGGCCAGGGCCCCTTGGGGGGAAGGCGGGGGGGGCCCTGATCCCACTGTGGGGTGAGGGACTGGTCAGGGCCTCGCCTCTGCCTGCCTCCAGGGCGCTGCTCCCCGAGAGGAGAGGAGGCCCTGGGACCCTCAGAGCCTATTTACCCAGGGAGGCCGCATGTTGGCCCACCTCCAAGGCCCCATCCTAGTTGTCTGACTCCTCCAGGACGGGCTTGAGCCCCTCTTGGAGGGGATCCTCAGCCTCCTGGCCTCCTGTCTGGATGAGGACCTCTGGCCCCCAGCGGGAACCTCCTGGGACCGCCTGGACAGCACTGCCCATCTGGGCTGGGGAGGGGGCCCCATGGGGCTTGGTGGGCCCTGCCCGACCTAGGCTTGTGAGGATTTCGGGGGCAGGATCCTGGTTGTCCTCTTCCTTAAGGTGGTCCTCCTCCTCCTCCTCCTCCACCTTTTCATCCTCCACTTTAGTGCTGGCTCTGGCACCTCCCCTTCCTGTGCCTGGCTCTCACCCTTCTGGCTAGACTGGCCTCCCATGCCTCAGACTCCCGAACGAGCCCCAGCATCTCCAGGAAACTTGGAGACCTCCCCCCCATCTCAGCTTCCTCAGTGCTTCATCCAAAGGCTCAGTAAGGTTGGCTCTGGTGAGCATCCGCCTCAGGCTCACACAGTCGGCGGATGCTCTGGCCAGGGCCCACTTCTCCATGGCCTTCTGCAGGACTTCCAGCCACAAGGCAACAGCCAGGACAAACTGGCCTGACTGTTGCTGAGCAGTCAGATACTTCGGCCGGCTGGTAGGGGGCAGGGGGTAGGGCTCATTGTCTCCAAACACCTGGACCAGGGCTGTTAGACAGTCCTGAGCAGCCGACCTGGTGGGGTTTTCCGCCAGGAGTGCGTGCACAAGCTGGTCCCTCCCAGAAAACATGCCCAGGCTCTGGGACCTCAGGGTCTCCACCCAGGGCTAGACTGCCTGACTGACGGATTGGAGCCAGCTCGCCCTGCGCAGCCCCACACCCAGGACCCAGGGCACCGGCCAGAGTCTCCACCATCTGCCCCTATTGCTGCAAGAAGTGGAACACAAGACCGAGAAACTCCTCGCCTGAGCAATGGGGCACACAGACCGCGTTCCACGGGCCCGCAGTGCCAGGGACTTCCCTGGGGACCAAAGCATAGTTGACGTCCCCTTTGAGCCCGACCAGGGCCGCGATGGCACTATCCTCCTCTCGAAACACTTTGCCCAGCACCGTAAAGGGTCCCATAGGCCATAGGACAGCCTCAAGGGACTCTTGGAATTCGGCTTCATTACGGTCCTCCATGATGCCCAGGACAAGCAGGCCCCTGAGAACGTTGACGCCCATCCAACTGCGCCAGGCTTGCAGCATCGCCGTCGCCATGCCCGAAACCTTGGCCAGGGCTGGGCTGATAGGAGGGGCAGGAGAGGGTTCCCTGCACGGACCAGGGGGACATGGGGCGGCGGGGGTGTAGGGGGAAAGAATTGGGGTGGGAGTCTTGGACTCGGGGAGAACAGCCTAAGTCTCCACAGCCTGTGAATGCTAGCGGGGAGACCGAGGTCAATGCCCACTCTTCCCCACTCCCACGCCCACGTCCACCTCCACGCCCTCCTCCCCTGGCGACAGCCAGGCCCCGCCCCGCCCCCGGGGGTCCCTGCGGGTCTCAGACCCTTCCCCTCGTCGCCCCGGGCCCTGGACCCCTGCCGGACTCCTGCCCAGCAGGCTGCTTCAGTTCTGTTGGGACGGACAGGCAAGGGGCGGCGGAGTCTCCCGGGACCCAGTCTCCCGTCTCCCTCACCGAGTTAGTCTGATATCTTTCCCCGGGGCAGGGTCCCTCTTGCTTGGGGTCCCCACAGGGGCTGCGCACGGGGCGGCAGAGACCTGGTCGAGACCCGGTCGGGCGCCCCTGGCTCCCCGCGCGGGCGTCCGCTCAGACTGTGCCTCTCCCGGGTCCGCTCTGCACGTGGGCCAGTGCGCCCGCGCCTGCTCCGGCTGCTCTCTGCAGTGCGGACACCCGGCGGGAGCGCGGCGGCGGTGTAGCGCGGACCCCTCCCCGTCGCCCGCCTGAGAGACCACAGGGCCATTGGCGCGGGTGGATCACGCGGCCCGTCTCTCGCCGCCGCCCCGGAAGCCCCAGGTTCCCGGGTGATATCACCTACTCCTCTCCCCTAGCCCCTCGCCCCCCCGCTACGGGTCCCGGCATACAGGCGCCCGCCCACCCCTACCCCCACCCCCACCGTGGTGTCCAAAGGTCTGTGGTGGCAGGTCCCCGTGCCTTTGGCTCTCACCACAGCAGTTCCTGGTCCTGGCTCCTGCCCCTCCCGCACGTGCTCCAGAGGCCCAGCAGGGCGAGGGGTCTGCAACCCCCCCACCGCGGGGTGCCCACCAGAGGGCCAGGGAGTGTGGTCTGAGGTGTGCCAGGCAGCTCTGAGTTCTGGCCAGGAGGCAGGAAGCCAGGCTCTGGGGCCTGTTCGCCTGCTCTTGTACTCCCCCTCCCCATCCAGGACTGGTCTTCTGACTGAGGAGGCCAGGTGAGGCCAGGAACACTTGGTGCAGGAGCCATTCCATGGAGGAGATGCCCCAGGTGCTCACGCAGCTCACACACCCCACCCCACAGAGGGTCTGCCCTCTCCCCGCTGCCCATCCCATTCCAAGGACCTGCAGCCCTCTGGTGCCAAAGTGCTTCGCCGCCCCGGTGCCAGGAGCCAGCACCAAGGAGGGTGACCCAGCACCCAAGTATGCCAGGGCCTTGTCTGTTTTGCAGCCGCAAGTCCCAAGTCTGGGTCTCTGCCTCAGTGTGTGAATGCAAAGGTAGTCCAAGGGGAGTGGGCTACTCAATTTGTCCCCTGCCCCCTGTGCCCTCACCAGACTGATGGGCTCTGGGACATTGCTCCCTTGGCCCTAAGGGCAGCATGGGTGTTGTCCTTCCCTGGAGACCTCCGTCTGTCAGGCCTGAGTCAGCTTTCCATAGGTCCTTCCCCAGTCTTCTGCTACCTGGGCTAGACACCACACCAGGGCAGAGCAGCCTCCACTCATAGCAGAGATCCTGCACCTGTGGATCTGACCACCCTGCACCTGAGCTGTCACGGGAGTCTGGGGCCATGTGCACAGCATCTCCACCAGGCAGGTGGCAAGCAGGTTCCCACAGGGTCACACCTCTGGGTGTCGTTCCCTTGTCCCCTTCTCTTTCTTTGTCTGGCCTCCTGTTTGGCAACTTACAGGCCAAGGTTTCCCCCAGGCGTCCAGCTCGCCCAAGCTCCTTGCCGAATCATAGCCACAGAGTGTTTGTCTACGACCCTATAGATGGGCATGTAGGTCCTTCCCACCGTTTGGTTGTTGCAGACACTGCTGCCAGCGGCATCCCGCGTGCTCGTCTGAGCCACCACTGTCAGCGAGACGTGCTCTGGGGTGCACAGCAGGCAGTGGCTCTGCTGGGACTTGGGCTACGCCCATCAATGCCACCACCCAGCATTGCTCATCTGTGACCCCCCAGTGGGTGGGTGAAGCCACGTTCCCTTGCACTGGCAACTTGGGAGGGGTCCTGGGTTCCCACAGCCGGAACAGCTTTTGATCTTCTCCAGCCTCCCCCGCTTGCCCATCCCACAGGGAGAGACACCACCTTGTCGTGGTGTGCCCTGCGTTTCCCCGATCACTCGCCGTTCCCGGTTCCTCTTCTGTGGATCTCCTTTGCTCCTTTCCTCCTGATCTGGCCGATGACCATTGTCATTGGCCTGTTTCCAGGAGAAAGTTTCTAGCGTCAAGACGGAAGACTTTCTCCTTGTGATTCAAGCACTTGTGATATAAGACATGGCCAGTCTAACATGATGCCCAGAAGCAGGTTGCATTGGAGTGAGCCTCACAGATAGACTCTGGTTTGCCCGTATGGTTATGAATGGTTTCAGAATCAAGATGGAGTCAGTTGTGTTCAAACAAAGAAAAACCCGAATACCTGACAAATAGAGCCGTGGAGGGCCGCGGAGGCAGGGTTCCCATGCACAAATGCCTGATAACGAAAGCTATCACAGAAGACCGCAGAACCCACAAATCTGCACAAAGGCCGGCGCCACCTGACACAAATGATACTTCCGCGAGGACACCTGCCCAGCAACTGCCTGTCCAAGCCCCTGACCAATGTTACCCTGGTCATTAATCCTCGTAGCCACAGATCATGATCGCGAAACAATTATGGAAGCCTCCTCCCTTCTCCTGAAACACCTTTGTCTTCCTTCCCCCGCCTGAATATGCGCACGGTTCACTAGCGCACCCGCATCCCCGCTACAGTGCCTATTTCTGAATAGACACCATTTTCTTTGAGGGAGGCTCCCTCTCTGTGTGACACTTGGGTTGACATGGTCTTGCTCCCCAGGCTTTTCTACCTCCCCGGTAGGAAACATGGGGTCAGCGAAGAAATGCATGTCTATTGTCACAAAGCAGCCTCCCCAGTTGGCCTTGTGTGTCCGGTCTGCCCCCAACAACAACCCGCCCCCGCCACTTCTCCCCATGGAGGGTCAAGACTGCTTGCTCTAATTCACCTTTGCTGTTAGAGTGTCTGTCTATGGAACCTTTAGTGGTAGACTTGTGACAGCTTATAACTCATATTGTCCTCTCTCTTGTTTTCAGCCATGATTTTTCTGGAGTCCTTCTGCAGAGAGGGCACTGCCCACCCAGCCGCCACCCGCCCCCCACCCCGGGAACATCTGTGGGTCTGGTGTCTCCAACTGGCCAAGCCAGTCCACAGGCCAACTCTCAACTAATTTCCTCTGTTTTCAGCCTTGTCTCTTCCCACTCTCCTTCCTTCCTCACCTGCTGACTCCAGGTCCAGGACACTGCAGGATGCCCATTCTGTGACCCCACCCCACCGGCCCTGGCCCAGGCTGGGCTGTGACACCTCAACTGTTTGTCTTTCATCAGTTCCCTTTCCCCACTCTCTCCACCTCTCAACACAGTTGATGCTCCTTCCTTCTCAAAACCATTTCCTTTCTCAGCTTCCTCCTCTCCCTCACCCACTTTTGGGCTGACCTCCTCCCCCTCTACCTGCCTCTCTGTCCTTGGACCTTTCTCCTCCTCTTCCTGCCTTTGCTAGATCTCAGCGTGCTGGGGGCGGGCTCCCAGCCTCAACCCTGAGACATACGGCACCTCCGATGAATGCTCTGTCTCTGGACATGACCTCTCTTCCAAGCTCCACACATACCCATCAATCTGCCCAGGTGGATGCCCTGCAGACATTTCAGAGCTAAGATGGTCAAACCGGAGGGCTTCAGCCCCTTCACCACACCTACACCATCCCCAGGCTTCCCCCTCTGTACAGAGGGTTCTGCCTTCTACCTGGCGACTCAAACAAAGCAGCCAGGGTTCTCTCCCCTCTCCTTTGTTCCTCACTCCCAAATCTAACCCATCACTGGACTTTGTGGACTCTGGTCCAAGACTGCTAGCCTTCTCATCTCCAGGGTCCTTGGCCCGCCCTGTCTCTCCCTCTCCCTGCCTTCACTCTGCTTCCTCCCTACTCCACCCACACCCACTCAGCAGCCAGGGCGATCTCTGCAATACCACCAGACCCTGCTCCTCCTCGTGGCATCCCATCTCCTTAATCTCAAAGTCCCCATCCTGGTCAAGAGCACCCCAACCCCACTCCTGGAGACCTGGCTCCTCCGATGCTCTTCTTCCCTCCCTGAAACCCACCCCATGTCACCGTGCCCCCAGCTCCTCTCACCACACTCCTGCCGATCTGGCCCCGTGGCACAGGGCTTGTTCCCACCTTCGGCCTTTGCCATCCCTCCTTCCTCTGTGTGAGCCGCCAAACCCCAAGAACCTTCTGTGGCAGCAGCTTCCTCCTCCTCCTTGTCCACGTCTCAGCTGAACTGTCCCCTCCTCACATAGGCCCCCTCTGCTGGGACACACAAATCACACGCCCTCCATTTATATTCTTACTGGCAGCATTGCTACCTGTATGGGCACGTGGGAATTGCCGGTCTGAGTCTTTGCTTTGGGGTATCAGGGGCTCCCTCCCCAGGTGGTGAGCCAGTGGCCAGAGGGTGGGGCGGCCTTGCCTGTGTGTCTGGCCTATTTGTACTGCTATAGCAAGATACCTGAGACTTTGTAACGTGCAGAAACTTATTGCTCCCAATTCTGCGGTCTGGGAAGCTGAAAGTCAAGGCACTGGAGACTGGGAAACTTACAAAGAACAGAAATTCCTTGTTCCCCATTCCAGAGTCTGGGAAGCCCAAGATCAAGGCACTGGTAGGTTCAGCGTCTGGTGGGGGATCAGTCTCTCCTTCCAGGATGGTGTCTGTGCCTGTGTCCTCACATGGTTGTGGGGAGAAAAGGGCAAAAAGGGGGCCTACCTAGAGCTTTGAAGCCTTTTACAAGGGACTCCTCTCATCCCG